CTGATCCTTCAACCCGTAGCAACCCTAAACCGGAAGCCCTATGCCCTTACACAACAATTCCTGAACCTCAAAAACTAATTACTGCTGACCGCAAACCTGAAAATCAGAATACAGACAGATATAGATATATCCCTATATAGCGCCACTACAACACTACATAAGCCTATTAAACTAGGCACCCCAGCAGTACCCATTTCCCCCTTGTATTTTGGGGGCTCTTATTAAAGTTGAACATTAGGAAAAGAGTACCCCAAGGGCTATGCGGTTACTGGGGAACCCTAAAACCTAAACCCTATACCTTAAATCATAAACCTTACACCCTGAATCCTAACCCTATGCCCTAAAACCCCTAAACTGTAAACCCTGAACCCCGAAACCCTAAACCGCCTTACACGCTAAGCCTGAATCCCCCAAGTGCCAACCCTTGAGCCAAGGCGAGCTCCCGCAGAAGGGCGGGACCGCATGTTTAACTCAAGGAACCTTGGCTCTGAGGTTCAGGGTTTGGAGATTTTAGGGTTTAGGGTTTGGGGGGTTAGGGTTTAGTTTTATGGCGCCAGGGTTTGGGGCTTTGGGTTTAGGATCTCAAGGTTTGCATGGGGTTTTGGTTACAGGGGTGGATGTGGGGTTGAGGGTGTTGGCTTACACTTACACTACCCTAAACTACCTCTAGACCTCTCAGCGGACAAGCATTAACCTTACGCCTTGCAAGGACCCTCACCCGCGGTCAAGGGCAAAGGGTTTGCGCGCTTCAGGTAAGTGAGTAATCCCTTCGTACTAATAACGAACACCTCCCCCACACAAGACCCCAAACACTAAACCCTACACCCTAACCCCAATCCCCCCATGTGTGCGTTAGAAGGTAGGGTGACCTTTGGGGGTGCATCTTGCTTGCACAGCACCCGCAACATTGAATGTAGTTAAAGACCAGGTTAGAAAGCCACTAACCACAGAAAACATGCGGGTGGTTAGCACCAAGTACAAGAAGACCATCACTAACTTAAATCATCATTGAAGCAGCTGGATGGCAAATGCAACTCCCACGCTTACTGACAATACGAAAAGTCTGTAAGCCCTAGGCTCTGAGCCCAAAGCTCGACACCCAAACCTCGAAGCCTATGCAACATGGAGCCCCAAACCCCAAAACCCCATGGACCCGAGCCCTAGGCTCACAAGCCCCACCCTAAACCCCTAAAGCCGCAAACGTATGATGTAGAATGTAAAATTCTCACCCAACCCAAAAAAAAGCATTCTCAGTACTTAGAGCACCACATTACACCTCCGTCGATGAAGCTGTGTCATGTAGGCACGCAAGGAGCTACATTAGCATCCCATTACACCTCCACATACTTAACCATCTGATTCTCCAAAACCCAAACCCCTGGAAAAACTTCAGGTCCCTACATCCTAAAGCACTCGTATCCCCAGATGAGCTATAGTCTAAACTCCTTAAAAGGGGGTTATATTGGGTCTTACTACAGGGGTTATTAAGACGGTCACTATGACTTTAGACTGTAGCTCATATCATCCGGAAGTCCTAAACTCAACATCATAGTTTCCCAAAATAGGGAGACCCCAATATAGACCCCAATATATTATAATCCTTGTTATTGGGACCCCCAAGGAGGTACCCCTAACTTTGGGAAACCCCTATATCCCTCTGAAGGGACGATGAACCTTGACTTAGGAACAGCCGGCTCCCTGGCCCTGACAGCTTTTCTGTAGGCGGAATCAAGGCATCAACAGCTCTAAGCATCACTGGGCTTAGGGATTAGGGTCAGGGATTTGGAGCTGAGGGTTTCCTGGGTTGGAGTTTAGGGTTTCAAGGGTTTCAGGCTTGTACCTCTAGGGTTGTACCCCTGGGTTTTGGGATCCTTTTAAAGGACTCTAGGGGACTTTTTATTGGCTTTTGCGGGCTAAATTAGGGCTATATTGGGGAGGAGTACGACCTTAGGGGTACAACCCGGGAACCCTTTGAGGGTTGGGAGTTGGGGCTTTGCCAAGACCTAGGAAAACCGAGAAGTAGCACAGTTCATTGTATTTCCACGTTCTAACTTTGCGGCCTTGACCTTTTCGTGGGGTTCGCGAGTTGATGCAGTATAACGCGGTAAACATTAAAGACTCTGAGTTTGTACCCTTATTGTTTAGGTTTGGGTCCCAAATACCCGTGTTAAGGGCCATATTCCGTGGTTTAGGGACCCAAACCCAAGGGTACAAACCCTAACAGGACAAAGGAAGACATCCTGACAACAGGCAAGCGCATGAGCGGCTTCTTCCCATGACCTCTTTTGATTTTCCAGTTGCTGGGTGCACGCCACTTCATGTTGTCGGGGAAGATTCCAAACCTCTAAACCCAACCTTCCTTAATTTGTGTTCAGGCAGGGTATTGAAAAGGTTGATTATGGGTTTTATTTCTGAAGAGCATGGGGAGTTATATGGGAAGTCTATAGGGATTATTATGATGCTATGAAGCTATTATGGGCTTAGACTTATACAACCCTAAGCCCGGGACCATAAAGGAGGCTTACTTTTTTAGAACCAGATGGTCTGGGTTCTGCCGCTTCTGCGAGCCGGAAAGTCTCCGGAGCTTGGGCTTGGATTTGGGGCGTTTCCAACACCTAGGGGTCCTTTTTGGAGTCTAGCGTAAAGCTTATACCTAAACCCCATTAGACTCTAGTCCAGTGGGGTGAAGATCCCTTTTTCTGGAAGCCTTATTCGAGTTTCATTGAGTTTCTGCCAAATGCGGGCTTAAAGCTTTATAGTTTAGAAGTTAGGGTCTAGGTTTCAATTCCTTTTGGTGCAAGCTCTTCAGAGTTAAGCTCTTGGGTTGAGAGTTAAGTGCTCCGGGCATGAGGGTTCAGAGCTTAAGGCTTCATAGGGTAAGCTCCGCACAGAATAAAGTACCGTGTGAACATGATCCTGCATTACGCGCATTGCGTTTCTGCTCAAGCGTGGGAGACCAGCGCCCCCAGACAAGAAACTAGCATCATTTACGGCTGCTTTAGGTTCGGGCTATATAAGGTGGGCCATTACTTTGGAGACGTCCAATTGGATCATTTGAGCTTAGGCAAAACCCTGTGCCCAGCACAAGAGACCCCCAATACAGTAGTTTCCATTTTGTTGTCCACTCCCCAAGGTAAGCCTTTTTTGGGGTGGCTTGATTGTGCAATATAGGGGACTTTATGTACATATTCCTGTTTACATACATAGATAACCCTAAACCCTAAACCCCAAAACCCTAAACCCTAAACCCCTAAACCCTAAACCCCTAGTCCCTAGACCGCGAGTCACTGGCAGATGCCATGGCTCCTGGCTTCGAAGGATCCGAAGGTTCCTCCAAGCCTTCTTCTGCTGCTTTCAGCGACCTGACGTGGAAATAACCCTGCCTCAAGTGAAGCTCTTAGGGACTCTGCTAAATTGTTTTTGGAAACATAGTTTGGGTGAAAATATGTTTCTTTTAGGTGTTGGTTTGGCTTCTTTGGCAGTTCTGCAAAATTTTGTTTGCATGCATGCACAAGTAGTTGCTCTGATCTTCTGGTTTGTAAATTCGGTATGCGAAACCGTTGGACACAAACTCGTCTTTTACCTTTGTATTACACCCCGGTATGATGTCTATTTGGAGTCACTTGTCGGTGGCTGGTGCAGTACCTCAGGTATAGGAGCTAGGATGGTTTTCATCAGGAGTACTTAGCTGTAGAGGCATAATTGGAGACATGCAGACGAACACGCCCCACAAGCCTTTAAAGGACCCTGTATGCTTCACAAATGCAAAACGCCTCCAAATCCAAGCTTAAAAACACAACCGCAGACTCATAGCGATAAACCGCCAACCCTTAACACTAAATGCCCGACCCTTGAACCCCATACCTCAATGCAGTTGTTGTTTAAGACCCTTGCTGGGGGTCCTCTTTGTGACAGTTTTCGGGTTATGTGGACAACAGAGGTGAGTCTTCTGGTGCAAACTGGATTGCTGATTCGCGATCAACCGGGCTGGATTTGGGGCTTTCTGCCTACCAACAGGTCTGCAGGGCTTTGAGGTGGTTGGCCGGGAATCGGCTTTAGTCACAGCAAAGGATTTTGCAAGGGTATACAAGGCTTGCAATAGCATTGCCGTGCTTGCATACAATGCTCTTTAGCATTTGCGAGTCTCCCTGTTGAATTGGGTGTTTAAGCAACTAGCAACTGACAAAGATACCTGTCATTCATAGTCTGCCTTGCAAGTTTTATCCTCCAGAAAGGATGATCTATGATGAAGGAGGAAATCCTGCACAGCCCTGGGCCCCATAGTTCCGAGGAACTACACTGTTCAAGGGGCCCTATGCACCGCAAGCCCCGAAAGCTGCAGTTTTGTTGCGTGGAAGCTGTACCAGGTTACATAATGGGATAAACACGATAGATGACAGTTGAGTAGGAACAGGACTTAAGATTTAGGTCCAATAGAAAGTGCACACGTTTGTTTGGTCCAGGTGTTCAGCAACTGAGTGGCTGTGCTTCGCAGGTTGTATTGTATTGATGATGACAGCTACTAAGTTGTAAAAAGCATTGAGCATTGCCCGGAAGATGCTGGGTCTGACCCAGCGACAGCAGTACATGCGTCTGTTCTTCTCGGAGGATACGGGGCAGCTTGCAACCTTTGAAGTTGAGTTGGCCCATCTAGTGAATTCAGGGCCAATACATGCTTTGCATTGGGTAGCTTGTGCTAATTCGCACGACGGTCAGGCTGTAGGGTTTGCAGTTGAAAGGGGTATCCTGCTCATGCGTGGGACTTTAACTTTCCGAAGCTCAAAAGCTTCAACGTTGAATCATAAACCCAATGGCGCCATGTTCAACACAACCCTTCCTGCAAGACCCCTGTCGCAGATCCGCCATGCCCCTGAAGCCCAACAATCACAGTCTTTGGCACGTGGGATGGATTTGGAGAAATATTTTTTGTGAATATACAAGATGCTTTCTACAACTTTACATTCCAGTAGGCCTTTAAGAACACCCCATGTTTTGTTTAGGTACTTGAACAACCGACCTCCAGTTCTAGCAGATCGAGTGGCAACTGTGATCACTGGAGAGTTGCGCGCCGTGGACAACAAGACAAATGTTGAGCGACTAAATCGTCTGACGAATCAAACAGACGTACCTTGGCTTACCACTTGCGATGCATAATCCGGAAGGTATGATTCAGAAGGTCTTCCACGCAGGATTGCAAAACTTCCTCAAGCGTCAGGGAACAGGAACATTGGGAACAGCGGACTGCATATGTGTGGTCTGCAAGGAACATGAGCAGACAAATTCCTTTAATGACGTAGCTGTGGCCCAGCCGTCTCCTCTTTTTTCCGTATAGACTTTACTTTACCTTGTACCCCCCCCCAGTTGCCAAGTGACCCGTTCGGAGAATCTCCCAAATAGATGCATGAACCGATCCTTCAAACAGGATTCTTGTCAGCCTTTGACGTGTGGAGAATAGTGTGCCACTGGTGTACTATGTTGAGCTTATTTTGTCGTTGATGCCCAACTCTTGAGACCCTCGTCATACCCCCTTATAGAAATTCTATACATCCCTTGGGGTCCTAGGGTGTCCCTTAGGAGGACCCCCCACCCTGCAACAGTGGTATAATCGGAATGTAAGAGAACCATAATATCATCCTTACTATTCCTGTCCTTTATAGTCATCATTAACTATTACAGGGTGGGGCATCCACCAAGGGTATCCCTGCGTTGAGAACGTCCGTCTTGCATGGGGAGACAATCCTGCCTGTCTTCATCCTTCAACTATCCCTAAAACGGCGTAGGGCAGAAGGTAGGGGCCTGAATGATTGCCAATACTATGGTCCGTTTAAGGGAGTGTAGGGGATATGTAGGATTTGGGGTTTGGGAGGGTGGTTCCACCATGGAGAGAAGCAAAAGCAAAAGAAAATTGAAAATTACCCCAAATAAAGCTCACGATGATACTTAAGCAATTATTAAGGCCTCTGTATTAGGGCGCAGGGATTGTCATGTCGTTATTCCATGGCCTTACATGTCCCTCCCACTTTATGGGCCCTTCAAATTTCAGACTCATTGACTCATTGGGGATTACCTAGACCTACTTAAACCCTAAACCGTCAGCTATGGGGTCCCAGGCCCTGAGAAACTACGCAAGAAATCTTGCAGGTGTTTGTGTGCACGGACAGGAAGTACAAGGCAGACCTCTGGCAGTTGCGAGGTGTGGTGGCCTCACGGCGTCTCGAGTCGCTTCTAGAAGCGTTTGGGTTGTAATGTATACCCCTGATTACTCAACCCCTTCCTTTACAGGGCCATAATATTAGGATCCCTTGTATAATCCCTATCAAGGGGACAGGTCTACATTAGGGTGCAAGGTTTAGGGCTCAGGGCTTTGGGCCAAAGGTTTGGCAGCTGAGGGTGTTTTTGGTTTTTGATTGAATATCTTTCAGCCTAAGCCCTAATGGCATTTTCTTTCTGCTTCTGAGGTTTTTGGAAGATGACCTTGCGACCTGGAAGGCAAAGGTGAATCTTACCAAGGAGCCTCCTCTACCATGGCACCCTTCTTAGTAACAAGGGGATTCGGCGAGCCCACAATTTCCCAAAATTGGTACCACATGAGCTGTAGTCTAAACTCCTGAAGAAGGGTTATATAGGGGATGACATAGGCTTTGTTTATGGGTTATTCCGGGGATACAAAGGGGTCTAGAGTCTAGAAAAAGCTCCTATAGCTATCATATGACGCTTGTGGGGGTCCTTGTTTAGGGGTTTGGGGTTGCCGGGATCTCCTAGACTCCTAGACCCCAAACCCTAAACCGCGTGCATCCCTTGACCTGAAACTTCCCTCAGTAGTCCTCCATGGTCTCTTGTTGTTACGGGCTTTCTGCTTTGGAGTGAGAGGGGGATTAGGATTTAGGGTTTAATAGGGTTTAGGATTTGGTATTTAGATTCAGGGCGGACAGTGGCCAGGAGATACAGTGGTGGCGCCTACAGCAATGTTGGAGCCTGGTGCAATGGCATCCGGATAGCTATTCAAGGGCTCAATGGTTTAGGGCATGGATTCACCGCTCACCACGTTTTTAAGGATTCTTATCCCTATGTGGAAGAAGTACAGAAGATTTTGAATAAGATGCCCCAGGGACTATTTCCGACAGCCCCATGCAGAGCACAAATGACCCCTTGATAATTGTAGCCATTGCCTTGTCCTAATCCACTCAAACCCCAACTCAACCCCATACCCCAAATCACTAAACTTTCAACCCTACCCACTCAAACCCAAACCCTAACTCTAAGATCTACTTCACTGAAACCCCGGGCCTGCTCCCGCCCAGTAATTTGATACGCCCGGCCCGGATAAATTAGGGTTTAGGGGTTAGGGCCTTAGGGCTTATGATTTAGAGGGTTTTAAGGTCTGATAGAGACCTGCAGTTGTGCCGAGCATGCTGCAAACAAGGGAGTAGTGTAAAGCATGATCGCCCTACCTTTCCCAGCAGATGCCTGCAGGCTGGATGCAACAAGATTTGACTGGACCCCCCTGAGCACGCGAGAGAGAGGGAGAGACAGACAGGGTATTAAGGTTTAGGGCTAGGGTTTGGGCGGTTTTGGTTTTGAGGTTTAGGGTTTCGAGGTTTCGGGTTTCTCAACCCTCCTTCCCCCGCCAATTTCTTTTGTAGGTAGGCCATTCGGTCAGGGTGGAGAGGGTGTAGGGTTGAGGGGCTAGGCCTTCCAAGTCCGTGCCCCTAAAAGTTAGGGTTTAGACTAGGTGGTAGGGTCGAAGAAGCCCTTGGAATCCTAAATGTTACCTATAGTTCTAATTTGCTGCCGCCTGAATTTCTGCTGGTCGGGGCCAAGTCAGCCCATTATGCTGGGGAAATAGGCTTTCCACGCAACCTTTTATGAAGGTATGAGGAAACTCATGGCTTCAGCTATGTGTTCTACTTCAAGACTCGGACGGACTGCTTTCGAAGAGGAGGTTGCGCTTCGTCATTGAAGACCTACGAGCGGCTGCTAGAGGATCGGGGGTTAAGGTTGAGGGCTTTCAAGGTTTCGGGTTTGGAGTTCAGGGTTGAGGGTTCAGGGTTCAGGATTTCGTTTAGATCCATTTTAAAGTGGATATGGGGAGTACATGCAGGGTCCTATGGGGCTATGTAGGGTTGAGGATTGGGTCTGAGGGTTGAGGGGTTAGATGGGTGAGGTTTTGGGGCTTGGGGTTGGGAGTTGATTTTTTAGGGTTCAGGGCTTGGGATTGATGCACCAAAGTTCGGGGTCCAGGATCTAGAGGCTCAAAATTCCAGAGGTTCAGCCAGAGTTTTACAGGCTTCTTGGGTGCCCAGGGGGATGTCAGCCTGACAATTACAGCAAGAAAGCTTGCTCAAACAATCGAAACAAGCGATCCTAAACCCTACATAACCCCATTATAGTAGGTTCCATTTTTTTTCCATTGTCCCCCTATATATATACACATACTCGCATTTTATAGCAGTTTCCATTTTCTTTTCCATTATCCCAATATTACCCCAATATAAGCCACAAAGCTGCCAGGACTTCGGAAGCGCAATGGACAAGATGATGTTTGCACGAAGCGACATGACCTTCGGCGGAACAAGGCCCACGCTAAGCCCTAAAACGCTTGAAGTCCCTTCAAACCTTACGCGATTCAGGCAGGTTTAATGTCAAACCGCAAAACCGCCAAAGCCATCTGCCTGTGCTATACCTGACCCACATCTTGATACACATGCCTCAAGTCCCAACCTCTGGAATGGGGTGGCCATCGCTCGGAAAATTCGGATTTAGGATGCAACCCCGCATTGCTAAGGGTTTGAGGGAGGACGTGCTCGTTTGATGTTACCAAGGGTTATCGAAGGTTATTGTGGGAGACTTCATGTTCCAGAACTCCATGGCACAATCAGCCTGGAACCTCCATCTACTTCTATCTAGCAGTTTCTCACAATCCTGAAGATAGTGAACCTAAACCCTAAACCCCAAAAGATGGTGAAGACATACCCCAAGAACCCCCAACATCTGTATAAGAGCCTTTCGAAGGAGAACTCCTGAGGTTTATGCCACAGAGGGTCTAGGACTTAGGCCCGGAGGAGTCAGGGCATTTCCAGAAAGAGCGGTGCCCCCTTTTAACCCCCAAATGCTGTGATCCTCCTGTAGGGAGGCCAAGAGTGGCATTGATTGTCTGGAAACCCTAGATCCTCCAGCCTGAATCCCTGAACCCTAAACTGGATTTGTCCTTGTATAGCCCCATATCCACAAAAAAAACAGAGTACCCTACACTAAACCTGAACAAGGCGCAGCTTTGCACGCGCCGCTGGCCTCTTCAGCCGAATTGGAGACTACTGGAAAAGGGCATCTTGTCCCAGAAAGATTCGCATAGCCCTCAAAGGATTTTAGCACGTAGATCCCACATGTTTAGGGGGTTAATGGATTTACTTCGGACTTCTTAGCTAGACCCTAAACTTTCTGGGATTCCTTTATATTCCTATTATAGGTAACTAACAGGTTAACCCTTCGTAGGCGTCCTAATTGCCATGTAGGAATGAGGGTTTTGGGGCGTAGGGGCTGAAGCCTGGAAATTTGAGGGTCCGTGGATCAGAGCTGGGTTTCAGTTGCGGTTATGGAACCCTAAACCCTAAATATCCCCCTATAACCCTATATATATAGCCCCTTTAAAGGGACCCAATTATTGGGCACATGGACCCTTAGGGGGACATACCTCAGTAGGTAGAAAGGTTGCAGCCAGGACCCTGCATCTGACACCCGAAATCCTGAGTAAACCCTAACCTATACACTTCCCTGAAGCTCTATAGGCCCCCTTTAATAGAAAGAATATGGCTGTGGGTATATTTTAACAAGATCCCCATATACCCCATATTCTATCTACTTAAAGGGGAATATACACTCTAAGCTCAAACCCTAAACCCTAAACACACTATGCCTTAAACTCCGCCAACAGATCCCTGAAGAGGTGGATGTGTTCTGGCCCTTGAACTACACCTTAGTCCAGCGTTCGGACGCTGCAGCTTCACTTCAGTACTTTCCCCCTCACCGCCCTAAGCCCTAAACCCTAAATCCTAAGCTTATGTTTGGAAAGCCTAGTTACCCCAAGTACTTGGCTACTTTAACTTCATGAGGATTTGGTTTTTACATCTTTCTGTCGATCTGGAATCCAACTTAGGACGGCGCGGTCAACAAGTATGTGACTGGGTCTGGGCAAGTTTCAGTGGCATTTACGAGGGTTAGGCTTTAAAGGTAAGTTTTGCGTGGCCGCCCTTGAATTTGGAGTCTCAGACCCCAAAGGGATTTGACACTTAGATCCCTTGGAGAAGAATGTGTGAATATAGTGAAGGTTCATATAAAGTATGGTCCTATATAGGAGATAGAATCGATCCTCCCAGGGGTCTGGGGTAAGATTATAGTCTCCGTTTCGGTATAACCTTTACAAAAAGGATATCCAAAAAGAACTGCTTGAAAATTTGAGGTTTGAGGGACTAAGAGACAGCTAGCAGCCCATAATCCTGTCATTTCCCTTACGTCGTACCATTTGGGGTCAACGTAGCGCTTTATGTTGTTCACTGCGCTTCCCAAATCGTTCTTCAGGAGTCATATGGTGGTTGCCCTAAATCAAGGCACCCTAAATATAGACCCTGAATATTACAATCCTTACTATGGGGACCCGCAAAAATCCTTATTTTGGGGACCCGCAAAAAAGGTACCTTAAATTTGGGGGAAATTACCCCTGTGGAGACTTCAACGGCTGTAAACCCAAGGTGTGGCTCGTTTTTCCACGCGCTGTCATTGGGCCCGGTCGATGCTGTGAACCTGATGTACTTCGCCGTAAGCCTCAGATGCTCGATCAATTTGCTGGGTTGTCCTTTGGGATCTTTTTAATTTCACTGATGTTGTAGCCTGCCGAAGCGATCCACCTTCTGTAGAAAGTTGGCTGCACTTCCTACTGTAAACCCTAAACCCTGGTATTTATTCATTCCCCAATTACTTTCAGATGGAGGGATGGCCTGTCCACCCCACGTCCCCGTCCGCCCAAATACCCGTGTTTTTGACTTGCTTGTTTTGAAAGAGAAGAACGGCCGCGCCCTCCACGTGAATCCAGACAACGTCTAATACTTATTGATCAAAAGTCTGGCATGTTTCGGAGTTTCAAATATTAAAAGCCGCCTTACAGTAAAGACCCAAAAATGCAACCTGCCATGACTGCTAACAGTCTTCAAGGGTTTTGCAAGTGGGGCAACCTCCCCCGTCAACCTCCCTGCTTGTGACTCATGCATGACCTCACTTCCAATGGTGATGCTTTTCTCAGCAGGCGTGAAGTAACTTGTAATTTGTTATCCATGATAGGCCCCTGCCAAATGCTGCCGGGCGCTTTAGAGGCTGCAATTCGCCTTAAGCCACCAATCCAAAATCAATATTCACATTCTGACCCTATGCAGTGTTAGTTTTCCCAATTTCCAGACTATGTTGTTCCATCCCTGTTTGATTTATTGACGTTTCACCCTTGATGTTGGGCATCCTCCTACCGACGAAAACCGTACTTTGGCTGATGGACAATATCTAGCATGACCTCAGGAACCTTAATTTTGGACATCATGGAGGGCAGTTTTTGAGGTCATGCAGGATTTTCGTCATCAACAGTTAGGACAAGCAATGTGGCCAAACGTTGTTTGTCTTCCGCCGAGCAAGCAGCTGAGGATTGTAGACGCATTGAATGAGTTTGTGAAGAAAAATTGCCGACCAGAAGCAAGGTGCCTGAGCTTCTTCAAAGAAGGGTGAAGGGCAGCGCTGAGTGGATTCCTTGTCAATGAGCATCATTAAGCTTGAGCCAGGAAAGCTGACCGAAACTCACAGTAAGTTCACGTTGCTTGGGGGCTCTTGCGGAATCTTTTCAGTGATCACCTGAGCCCATTGCCCTACTAAATTACCCGGCGTGCAGCTGAACGAAACGCTTATGCCTCTGCGCAAACTTCTAGCCGCTTACATTGTACTTACATGATGCATACGTTAACCCATGCATGCATCATACGAAGGTCCCCTGGATAGCGCAGGCCATAAGCTTCAAATCGGCCAGATTCGTTAGATGATCGAATTACAAAAGACTCAGCTTCAACGAGCCATAATATCTGGGGTCCTAACCTTGAGTCTTTAATGTGGGCTCCTCTTTGTTTCCTGGGTCTTAACTATGGGCCATTAGTAGAGCTTGTAGGGGTTTATGGACTACAGAGTAGGCTTTTAAGCTTAGACTAAAATTAAGTCATCGCTCAGCTGTGCGGACATTCAATCATGAAGGGTCGCGGTGACAAGACTTGAGATCCCAAGATGGGGAATCCCAAGGTCGACGAAGGTTTCGGGTTTAGGGTTCGGGCTTTAGGATTTAAGGCTTAGGGTTTAGGGCTTAAGATATAGGTTTCAAGGTCCAACGCGTAGAGCTTTGGGTCCCTAAACCTTCAATGTTGTGGGTTTAGCATTCAGTAGAGGCACGGTTCAGAGTTTCAGTTTTAAGGTTTTAGGCTTGCCGCATGGACAGCTGCCATCATCTTGAATGGATGGTCAGTTAACGTATAATAGTGACAGCAACCATATTATTGCAATTACGAAAACCAGTCATCACAACCCAACAGCGTGGTGAAAGTTACCCACTCTGGATGCGCCGATAACCCGCCAACCACACCTTAAACTTAGGGCTTAGGGCTTCTAGAGCACAATTGGAAGTTTGAAGCTCGTGGCTTATGAAACCAAACCGAGGTGCAGCAGAGGCTTCACGATTGCCAGTCGCCTCCCATTGCCTCCGACGGTGCCATGGCCAGCCAAGCGAAGGTAGGGCTATACCGCTTGCATGTGCGTCTGTATATAATATATCTATGTGCAAGGGTGAAATCCGCACTGCCCATATGAGAGTTACCAAGGGACCGTTAAGGGTGGACATAAGGGTCCCTTTGGGCATTAGTATAGCCGCAATGTATTCCCTAAGAAGGACCCATGTCTTGTAACCATGTGGGAAATATTGCCTGTAGCTCACATACTTACTAGTGGCTAGCAGCGAATGAGGGAATATGATCCCTATATCACCCCTATAGAATATGTTCCTTTATTCCCTTTTTAATTCCCAGGAAGTGAACCCTAAACCGTAGTTTCCATTTCATTGTCCATTTGCTTGTTCATTTGATTCTCGCTTCTCGTCTTTTGGGGTAATATCCGCAGACCTTCAATCCTGACCTCAATGAATATACTGTAGGGTTTAGCGATATTGCCAAACCTAGGCGATGGATTCCTCTCAATTTGGACACACGTGTAGGGCTTATGGCTTATAGGTGTTGTTCTCAGAGGAGGTTCTCCAGATGAAGGATTATCTAGGATTCTGGGGTATACACGTGGCGCAGTAGAAAAAATAGTTCCAGCTAGACCCCAAACCCTTAACCCAGCTTAGGCACCCCTAGTTTGGGAAACCTTCACGTGCAGGTCGTGAAGGGGATGTAGAGTTCAGGGCCCAGAGCCTACGCATTTCAGTTTAGGGTTGCTCTTGAGGTTTTGGTAGAGCTTCGCAAAACTAAACCGATTGTAGGTTTTAAGGATGTCCAACAATAAGGGGTACCATTTTGGGGCTCCCAATTATGGAGATTATTGGGGTCTATTTTTTGGCCAAACCCAAAACCCTTAGCCCTCATTTCGGAGACTACCCTTAGAAAGCTTTGGTGCTTGAAATTCTAGGCACGCGCCAAAGCCGCCCTGTGAACCCTCAATACTGCGCCTAAATGTAAAGCCATAAGGTCTAGCAGGGAAATCCCAAAGGGTTTAGGGTTTAGGTAGAACATCCTCAAGCCCAGAGAGAACCAGAAAAAGGCAGGACCGCAGCAGTATGCAAAATCATGGCCCGGTATTCATGTTGGCTACTGTTCTGCATACCTGGGGTCCAGGTATAGGGGTTAACAGTATTTTCTCAGAATATGCCTACCGCGGTTTCAGGCAAAATTTAGGCTTTAGGTGCAAGAAGCCTCCTGCAAAAAAAGGGTCTAGGTCTAGGGCTATTGTTTCTACAAGCCTGTTGCAGAAAGGGTTGTTTTTCAAATTATGCCTACCTAGCGGAAACCATGCCCTTAAGCACGCGCACAAGGAGTTCACGTCTGAAGGCCAAACAAACACCTGACATGAAGCCTAAACCCTACACTAAACAAACCCCAAGCCATACTATAATATGTAAGCTTGTTCATGAGAAAACGGAAAAGGAAACGAAAACCATGGTATTGATTAGGATTTGCAGGTTAGAGGCTTACAGCGGTCTATGAACCAGGGAAACCAGAGGAACTTTCCGCCAAACCTCTCCTTTCCCGAGCTTTGTGCCTCCATGCAATGCTGCATGGCCAAAAGCCCTGTGCCATATAAACCTTCAGCCAAAGGTCCGAAGCCACAAATCCTAAACCCTTTTGTCTCCCTTTGTCTGTGCAGTCGCAAGGCGGCTGTCCCAGCAGCCCTACAACCCTCAAACCCTAAACCCTAAACCTAAACCCCAAAGCCTAAATCCCTGAACCTCAATCCTGAACCCACAGCTAAGGAGTTCGCATCCGAACAAGCGTTCTTGCTGGATCTCTTCCGCGGGGGTTTCGAAGTGCATGGGCTCCTGAAAGGGGAGAGCCACCGAGATATTGAGTGGTGAAAAAAGAGGGTTGTAGGGGTTTAGGATTTAAGGTTCGGGGAGTCGTGGTATAAGGTTTTAGGGTGACGGGTTTAGGGTTTCAGGGTTTACGATTTATGGTTTTAGGGTGTAGGGGTTTAGGGTTTAGGAAGGTTTCAGGCTTAAGGCTTAGGGGCCTGAGGTGTAGATTGGGGGTTGGGGTAGAACCAGTCGTTTGGAGGCCCCTTTTCAGTTCCCATGTTAGTTTGAGGGAGAGGATTGCACTGCCCATTTGTATAAACAGGCGGTAAACAGGCAAATTGGGGTCTCCGTCCAAAACTGTGGTCCCATACAAACCTGGAGCGGCCCCAATATTTTGAGCATAGATAAACCTCATCGCCACCCTGAGCTGGGTTGCTGCTAAGGAACTTAATCTAAATCACTATCTTGGGGAAACCTCATTATTTACTATGTATGCCCATTATGGTAACTTAGATTAAGTTCCTTAGATCCCTATAGATTACAATGTCCATTTCATTTTCCGTCTTCTTTTCCATTTGATTCTCCATTATAGGGGAATAATAAAGCTTAATCTAAGGTCCTTAACAGCAACCCAGTAGGCCCGTTGCTTCTTGGGTTGGAGCTATAGGCTGCTAGTGAAGCCCCCTAAGCTGAGGTCTTTAAATACTGACCCATGATATTAGGGTCAGTATTAGCTTGAAGTGATTAGATCCCTTGCAAAGCCCAAAGCCCTTAAACCCCTTCATCCCAACCCTTAAACCCTTTATCCTCAAACCCAAACCCACTCCATCCCGGCCCTTAGATCCTGAACCCTAAGCCTTGTATCAAAACCTAAGCCATACTCCATTGCCTTTTGATCCTGAGCCCTAAACCCCCGAACCCTAAACCCCTAACCCCCTGATCCTAAACCCTAAACCGCCAAAAGGGTGGGCCTTTGGATTGCGCCCCGCCACGGAACTCGGCGCCGGTGCCGGCCCCCAACACGAAGACCTCGGCACTAGCCCTTTGGGCTGCGAAATTTGAGCTTGAGGTTTTGGACACCTTTTTTTGAGAGTTTAGGGTTTAATGACCCTTTTTGAAGGTCCCCATAATATGGGTTATAGTATTCGTGAGCGCACACCGGGAGACCAGTTATTTATGGAAATTACCATATCGGGGTTGAGAGGCTTAGGGTTGATTACCGTGTAGGTGCGTTTGGGCGAACGGGGTGGCAGGCTTTTAAAACCTCAAATTACGCTTAGGGTTTGGATTGCTCAGTTTGCGTCAGGCTTTTGGGATCAAGGTGACGGGATGGTAGAGTCTAGGCTTTAAGATGCAACCTTGAACCCTAAGCCCAAAACCCAGATGGGTTGAAGCCTAAACTCTTTGAAAGGGGTTATATAGGGTTGGTTTGGGGTTTAGGCTTTTTGAGCGTTTGACTAAACATACTTGGCCTGCACCAAGCTTAGACAATTGCAGATTTTTGGGCGCTCGGCTCGTAGCAAATCCAGAGCCTTTTGCCTTACAAATTGAGGCCTTACATTCTAGACTCTGAAACCCCTATACCGTTAATCATAAGCCCCTAAACCCTGGCTGTCTTTCACCGAACATCCCAAAATTGCAACAGTAAGCCAATCCCTATGCCGGGAAGTTGAAGGGGAATTTGGAAATCCCAATCCCTTTTTAAGCTAGGACTACATAACGAGCAGATGATTATAGCAAGGTAGTAGTATTGTGAGTTGGTGTTTGTAGAGTCTTCTGATCATTAACGTCTGCATCACGCTGCAAGGCGATGGGCGCGAACGGTCACGGCCCCAAGAAGGAGGCGAGAAGTATTCGGGTAGATGCCCATAGGTCCTGTAGGTTTAGGGGTTTAGGGTTGGGAGATTAGGGTGCTTACGGGGATTGTCCCATAGGTGCATCTCTAGCAATCTACCCGAAGTACCCCCCCCACACTACCCGCACAAGCTGCTTCCTGAATTTGGCCGGTTTGGCATTTATTCAACCCTAAACCCTTAACCCATCCAAGTAGGAACCTTGGAGGCTCGTAATGGGGGGCTAGTTGGTTCGCAGAATCCATCATTGGTGCTGTTTGGGGCGTGGGGCCTTCACTGAGGGACCGGGTGTGGTTTAGGGTGAAGTTGCTTTGGTTTAAGGTAGGGTTAAGTCCACTATCCCTTGCGGTGACTGGAAGGTTTCCCTGACCCTCCGTGAGGGGAATTCCGGAGTTAGACTACACCCTTCACATAATTTCCCATCACCCCAAAAGCGACTTAATATACTCCTTATCCATGGACAAATTGCCATTAACTCCATCTTCAGCTGCTGTCGGGATCTGGAGCCGTCATATGCCATCGCGATCCTTGCGCTTTCCCGCGTGAGGGTCTTGTACACTATCTTTGCGAACCTGGCTTGAGTTTTTGGTACCCCCTAAACCATATAATAAAGCCTTCTACCACACTCCGGCTCTAGCCCCGCACCCTGAATGAAAATCGGTTAACTCTATAACATCTATAGTTTGCACGCGCCCCAGATACACGTACGCTACCCTGCGCTTGAAGCAAAACCAAGCACATAGCCCTAGACAGTTCCAGGAGGAAAATCATGGTCGCGGGCGGTCCGACGTTTATGGCCGCTCGGTTGGTAAGTCCTCCCACCCCTCTGAACAAGAGCTACCCCCAATATAATATAGTACCATTATAAAAGCAGGCTTTAGGGTGTAGGATGGAAGAAATCTTGCATCACGTTAATTCCTTAAAGTCCTAGGAAATGCAGTAGGTCAGGAGCCCTAGGTGGTGCAAGATTCTTCCATCAACAGTCCCCCAATACAGCCATGACTTAATGGGTGGAAGAGTTATATGTACGGGGAGGGGGCGGGAGGCATATGCTTTGGATGTTCTACGGTGGTTTCAGGAGGTGTGTTATCACGCAGAGACCTTACACATTATAGGCTTTATAAACGCCTTACATAGCTCTCCATGGTCCGTTCTTACCTCTTGATTACATTCTGCCCAGTGGAAACTCCCAGTTGATCCTAGTAGCAAACAGGTGCGTGTTTTGATTTTGGGTTTGGGTTTTAGGGTTCAGGATTATGGGGCTATGACTTTGCAAGAAGCTGGTGAGCTGTCAAATGGCTTAGGCATCGGGGTTTGGGTAGGAATCCACGAGGTCACTGGGATTAGCGG